TATGTGTAATTCCTCATTATTGAGGAATACAAAATGCCTTTTGATGGGTTGATTGTAGAAGACAAAAGGCACTAAAGTGTGTTGATTTTTTTTATTTACTTGTTGCAACATGCTCCATCACATAGGCTAGGGCCACAAAAACGTACAAATACGCAGCAGGAAATAAAAAATTTTAGATTTCAAAGTTACACTGCCTTTTCTTTTCATTTAAAACCTTGAAAAAGTCCAATTCATTTCTGTTGAACCCGCAGCACTTTGTAAGCTTTGTAAACGGAGGAATGCAACAGAAACGCTCGGAAACACAAACAGTCTGACTGGTGTTGCTGACATAAACAGGTAATGTGCCATAAATGGCACATTGTCCGTCTCTGATTGTTTATGGTTTGCACCCTCATTTGGCTGACCTTATTTTTGACCCTGACAAAGATTTTCATGCAACGCTGTTTGTTTTTTCATTTTTTTCACTTCGCCTGAATAAAACGGATTGCTGCTCATCTGGTTTCACTCTGATTTTCTGAAGCATGCTTCAGTTTTTGTGCTTTTATTAGCAAAATCTGGCCAGATTCCACTAAATACACTAAGATTAAGGTTTTGATTCACAAAATAATTATATATATTGAACCCAAAAAGACAGAACTTTATAAATGTTTACCTGGAAGAATCCCTCTGTTTTTTACCACCAGTTAAGAAAAAAATTATTTCTATTTTGTCCACATTAAGAAAGAAGCTATAACTATTTTGACTTGGATAATAAATTCTTTTGTTCAACAGTTGAGTTTGCCATATAAATGGAAACATTAGCAATCACAATAAGTCAGACAGACGAACTGATAAATTTATTTAGAAACAAGAGTTGGTAAAATCACCTGATAATTAATACAAATCATTGCACATATTAATTTTTGCTGTATGTTTATGTAATCCACCTCTCAATTTGTGCCTGAAAAAACTCACAAATTTATTTCTAGTTCCAATTTAACTGGTTCAAACTTTCTTTTAAAAAACTGATCATCTACATTTTACTGGGCCTGCAGTGACTGAACATTGTCCAAACCTTTAAAAGCCGTTTATCGTGATGCTTACAACTTTTCCTCCTTCAGTTCTGTTCAGGCTTGTAGCTGATGGTGATATATGCATCCAAGTTTGAGAAATATATATATAAATATTTAAAAAACTGGGAGAAAGTGAGAAAACAACCAGGAGTGGCTGTAGCGACATGTTGCATGTGCAGCACTGACCTGGCCGTTGACGTTCAAAATATGCCGACATTTATTTGAATCACTGACTTTTATAAGCTCTGTAAAACTTTTCACAGCTCTGCTCAGTTAGCTGCTTACATCTGAAGCCAGACCTGATGACAGGATTAAGAAGTGACTCGGTAATAAACCAGAAAACTCTGGCGTCACACATGGACTGAATATATTTGCAGATCTTTTATGTCCCTCTTGCTTAGTTGTCGTGTCTCTTCTGAGCTGCAGAATGGCAGGAGTTTTATTTTGAGTCTTGTTTTATGACAAATGGCTTCTGCTCGCCGTTTTCCTGACCTCAGTGATGCTGAACCAAGACATGAAAAACGGAAACGTCAAAGTTCCCAGAGGAATCAGCAGGTCAAAATCAGAGTCGCAGCAGAATGAGCCGCTTCTTCTGCCCTGGCTGGTCTGACTGTGGATTAGAGGATATAGAAAGGCAACGAAAAATGGCTTCAATGACTGAGAATGTCATGCAGAGTTCAGTAGTAACTAGTTACGTTTGCTTGAGTATTTTTTATGTGCTTTCAGGAGTATTTTTACTATGCTGTACTTACTTCCACTTGTGTAATTGTATTATAAAGTATCTCTTGAGTAAAATTTCTGGATTTTTGACCCACATATTTTAACTAAAACTTCACCAGACACAAACACCTCCAGTTTCTGTTAAAGTTTCACAAGTTTTTTACTCAAAGAAAATGTTTTATTTTGCCTGATTTTGTTATTTTTTTGTTATTTACATGAATTATTGTCATTTTGGTCCTTAAAATACCCAAACTTCCACTGAAATGTATAATTTGTTCCAACTGATGTAGTTTTTAAATATCAATAAATTGCTAATTTGATCAATAACTTCATGCTTGAGCAGATGTTTTACTGAATACTTTTTTACTTGAGTAAAAATATGTTGAATTAGATACTGTACCCACCTGCTCATACAGCAGCATGCATTAATTAATATTCCATGTTAGGAGTCTATAAAAAGACAATATTTAAGCTCATTTTGTGCAGATAAAATGTTTGTGAACATACATTTTACTATCCAGTTTAGCAAAAGAAAATCATTGGTAAATAAAAAAGACATAGCAGATCAGGGTTAATGGATGGATAAATATATTTTTTCAGTTAATTCAAGCAAAAACTGTTTCTTCTTTCAGGTCAGGTGAGATAACCAAATTTATCTCAACTGGCTATAAATGCCAGAATAATTAGATTTTTAACCAATTCTTTTTTTTCTTTTTTTGCTTTTTTATATAAAAATTGCTTTTAGCAAATGCGAGGAGTTTTAGTAACCTCCAAACTTTTCAATGCACATTTTTCTTTTAACTTATAATTTTTAATTTCCTTTGTTTTAAAATACAAATAAATAGATGACTTGAAGAGAAACTGGACACAGTGACGAGTTGCATCTTGTAGAAGTTTCTAAATGTCTATTTTTCTCACACTTCTGCAAATTTTTTATCCCTCTTTGGAAAAGAGTCTGAATAAAAAGTTCCCTTAATTTGCAAAATTAATCTAAGAAAAACTGATTGCACATAGTTTACTGCTCATAACAATTTCCAAAAATCTGAACTTTTACCTAGATGGTAAGTAATGGGCGATACAGTTTCAGTGTCATGAGTGAAAAATCTGGGGAAATACCAGCCCACGTTAAGTTTACACTGTTGGTTAATGGCTTTATTGTGCATCTATGAGGCTAAAAGGGAAATAACGTTGCATGTGCTTTTCTTTCATGGCACTGAACACAAAACTTTGCTGCACTCTGAAGTAATTCAGCGAAGCTTTATTAAAATTAGAACAGATTGTGGAAAAAAAAAAGTTTACATTTGTGAAGTGGAAAGCACCAGACTGTTCTGCCTTCATTTGCATTTTTGTTCTCAAACACGTTACCAACAAATTCACCGTCTCCTTTGACTGTTTTCGCCTGTGGTTTTACAAGTGGAGCTGTTACTGTTACCATCACCAGATCTTGTCTTTTCACACAAGTTTTGCAACCTTTCCTGTGGCGTTCACACATACACAGCTTTCTTTGATAGGAGTTCAGCAAGTCCTCCATCTTTGGTCTTTTTCTTGTCAAACTTTTTCATTTCCAGCCTCAGGATGAAAGCAGCTTGATGTGTTTGACTGGCAGCCAATCAGAAAGATGGGAATGGAAATCTGGAAAATAGCAATTTATTAAATTAAAGGCTTTTTCTATCTTCTTTTCTTCATCTTCAATAACACATTTTAACTTGTATTTCATAATAATGACTGAAAATGGATTATAGTTATAAAAAGAAATCAAATTTATGATTTTAAAATGTATTTGATTCCATTTTTTCTCCAACTTTCTGAGCCGCCCTTCTGGCTCCCTTAAATGTGACTCGTGTCATTAACTTCCTTTTTAGAGAAAAACTATTCCTGCCCAACAGTGAAACATTTAGTCATGTGTATTAAAGGTTTAGAGGAGGTCACATCAGTTTCAGTATCTCACCAGGAGATTTCACACCAGGCAGTTTCCTGCGTAATGTATCTTACTCTAATGCAGTCTTGTTCTTATTAAGCACCATGAATAACTTTTATAAACTCCTCAGTGACGAATGTTGTGTTCCAGAAGCAACTCTACATGGTTATAAAAGTATAACTCATGAGGAGAGAGTACTGGAAGCTGTGCAGCTGCATAACGCTGTAAAATATAGGAACCAGAGTCAAACGTTTACTGTTGCTTTAATTGCTGTGCTGCGTCTCCGATGCACTGAGATATGCATCAGCTTGTTGATAGGAAAATGAGCAGTGGCAGAAACAAAACCTCCTAAGAGCTTCAATTTCTCCTGTCTCCATCTCCCTTCATGTAACAGAGTGTAGCTATGGCAGATGCACCTTAAACACAATAAAAAACAAGACCAAGACAAGCAAACTGTTTAAAAATACTTCCTACTGATGCATATGAAATATGCATTTTCTTTATATAAAGCTCAGTTTTTCAGTTTTTAAATGGACATTTCAGTTCATTTTTGCAGCTCTAAGGTCATACCAGGTCATATATTTAGCCAAGTTAATTATTTTTTTTCTTGTTTTGCTGCCTACTGTTAGCATAAAGCTAACAGTAGCATAAAGCTAACAGTAGCATAAAGCTAACAGTAGCGCCTCTAGTTTATAAGTACTAAGTGTTATAACTGAAGTACATATGACCTTTTGTTGACCTCAGTTTGAATTCATAAAAATACATTAATTATAGAATCTCCAACTCAAAATTTCAACAAGTTATTCAATTTCTTTAAACATTTACAGAATTTTTGCTTTTTACACAGAAACCAGTAATATTTACAAAAATAACATGTCATAATGCCAAACAAAACATGTAAGATCTGTGTCTGTAGTTGCAAAGTAATGAACTTTTTTCACATTTCAAGTAACTGCTTTTATAATCTGCTTGTTGTGAGACAAAGGAAGTTGCATTGTCGTTGAAAAGATGACAGCATTTGATTCCTGCAACAAACTTAAAATACTTTTTCTGTCATATTAACTTAGTTTGATTTCTTTTTATTAACTTCATATACATCAATTATGATTCTAAACCAATTTTTTTTTTTTTTGTCAGATAACAGGGAGCTTTTATATAACATACTGTTTACTATAACATCGTATAAAAGTAGAGGAGGGAAGGAATGCATGCCTGTTGTTTCTTGTTGTGAAATTCATTTGGCCCACAGGGTGACTTGGCAGGAATGAAATCCACATCTTTAATCATGACTTATTTTCTTCTTTTCAAAGGATACCAGTCTGTAAAGCATCTGATCGCTGGGAGAAAAAAGGAAGAAGAGGAGACGCAGACAGATTGTGGGCATCTTGTATCTCTGGCATTATGCACCATCAGCAGAAATAACAGACCTTTTGGACATATAGAAAGTTTCACATGTTTTTTTGTGGTTCTTGTTTTTCATTGTGGATTTTTGTGTCACGGTTGTTTAGCCCAAGTATTCATACATTTGAAACTTTTTCCACATTACGTCTCTTTGCACAGACTGTAGCATAAAATGCCTCATAATTCTGAAATGGAAGGAAGATGGTTCATTTTGATTTGTTTTGTTTTCAGTTTAGTTATTTATTGCTCTTTTAATTTATTTTAAATTTTTCCTGGTCAGCCTCCCCAGTTGATGTTTTGTAGAAACGCCTTTTGCTCAATTATACCTACTGGTCTGTTGGAGTAAATCTCTGAAAACTTTCACATCCAGTGACTAAAAATATTCCTGTTTGGGAAAAATGGCGTCTGTGATCAGCCGTCTTCACGTAGTTCCATTAACTAATTGATTTAAGCTCAAATGGCTCAATTGTTCTCAGCCAGGTGTGGCCAGCTCCTGCTCCTTTGTGTCCTGAATGATCTTCCTCTGATTCAACACACCTGAATTAAATGAATGTTTGTCCAGAATTCTTCAGTAATTGATCCTTTCGGTAAACTGCGCTGGACACACCTAAAACATGCAACCCTGCAGCTTTCATGGGCTGAACGTGGCCAACCAGAAAAGGATCCTCGGCATAATGCTGCCAACAATCTGAACGGATTCTCCAACTTGACACAAAAACTTTCCGTTCACAGTTTTGCTGGTCTATCAATAGATCTAATGTTATGTTATGTAAGTTGACCTGGTGTTTTAATAAAGGACTTCACCCTCATTGGAACTGATTCATGTCGAGCTTCACACTTGTTCTTTAATTGGTTAATGATTGAACTGATTATGCCTTTACTACAAATAAAATGGTTCTGAGTTTTATTAAGGTGCAAACTTCAAAGTGTGATCTACGTCACGTACGGCTGTTTATTTCTTAACTACTGCAGCAGTTAATATCTAAGAAACTATTTTTCATTAAGTGTATGTCAAGCCGTCACAGCAACACATTTAAGATAAAGTTGTTCTTTATCCTAAAAGATGTTAAAACATTTACTTTGTCAAACTGAGAATTTCTGCTGGAAATGTTGCACTATTGTGTTTTTTAATTTTATTTCTGTTTATTATAATTTTCCACATCCACCTAATAAAAACAATACTAGAAAACTGGGCCAATAAAAAAATTTAATACACAAAGAAAAGTATGCATAATATCTACTTAGCGACGTATTTTTAATTTAATAAGCCTCATTGAAACACATATGCGAAATTACTGCATAATTACAGTAATTACTTTGTCCATAAAAGAAAATTAATATGGACATTACTTTGTCTAAACGAGTAATTTTAAAAGTTTTGCATTATTCTTTCAGTAAAATAGTGAAATTTAACATGTCAGTAATTTATGCAGATTTTTTGTAAAAATGGGCTGCATGCTGATTATCTTCACTGATCTGGGATCGAGTTTGTAAGTTTCCAGGAAGCTGGCTGGTCGAAGCCACCATTCACTGCGCTGAAAGACTTGTACAATAATTTATAATAGTTCTGTTATCATAACATAATAATGGTCTCAATTCCAGTGGGATGTTTCAGTGTTAAAACCTTTACAAATAGTGCTGCACTCAGAAATTAACCTCAACCCAGAGATATGAACTGAATGTTTTCATGTTGGATTATACATCTCTATAAATAAAAAATATACTAAAATACTTCCAGATGGCATAAAAACTGAATTAATTTTGATTGAATAAAATCTCACAGAGTATTTTTGAATACTTTTTAGAGGAAATTTCTTACTTACTTCTTTCTTATTTGTTTGTAATGTAACTTTTTATTACACGGACAATAACTTGACATCAAGTAAGGCAGCAGTCAATTAAACCCAATGTTTTTCACCAATTTTGAGAAAAATTTGCAGTAAAATCAGAAAACATGAGATCTGTTGATTTTGTGTGAATTTTGCAGATTTGTGAAAAAATGGAGGGACTTGTTGATGTAATTTGGAGTCTAGAAGGCCACATAAAAAGCTACGGTGGGCCAGATTTGGCCCCCGGGCCTCGAGTTTGACACGTGCTGTAAACGTTGTAGATATTCATCATAAAGGACTTTTCCACCTCTTCACTGTAAAACATTTGAGCCACTTTGAGTTGTGTGTATTATCTTTTACTCTTTAAGTCAAATGAATTCATCAAGTTTTAGATTCTGAACCTAAATGTGAGTTTGTGAAAGATAAACTTACAGTAATAAGTTGTGTTAACTTTTTATTAACTTTATCAAACCTCCAAGAGTTGAATAAACTAGTTTTTAGGTTAGTGCTTAAAAAACTGAAAGCAGAAAAAAACAGGAGTGGGAACTATTTCCCAGGATGCTTAGCGGCGTGTTTCTATATCCACAGATGGAAATGTGTTACATTAATCTGACTCTGTGTTATTAAGGAAAATGTTTATTTCAATGCAGCTGGAAGATAATGCTCCGTTAACACTAAATGTTTTTGAGCAGAATTCATTGAGATGTTTAATAAAATTTATTATGGGATCAGAAGTTTTGTTCATGCAATTTAAAACAAGAATTTAAATTATTCTAAAATAAAAATATATAATTTGATATTGTGAGTGAAAATAGGTATCATGAAATAATTATTTGATTTAAATTACAGCATTAAGTTGAAACTCAATTCAAGATTAACAAACTTAAGTTGTTTAAACGTTTTTTATCTCTTGTTAAATCGACTTCATGAACTTTAATTTCTGAGTTAAAAACAATAAAATTTTCTTGCATTTCTGTGGCAGCAGGTGGACTTCAAGTTAAACCAGCTTTACATGTTTTACAGTGTTTGAACTGCTCACATCAGGGACAGAATTAAAAACAAAGATAAACTAAAAAACTACTTTTTCACACAACGGTGCCAATATGTGACATCTTAAAACCTGCTTCTTTAGCGTTTTTAATTCACTGAATAAGTGACATTTTAATTTTTACAATAACAAAAGTGTTGATTCTGATTTAAAATGCCAAATAGGAATGTTCTTATCATACATACTGGATGTGAGAAACCTTTGTATGATTTTAAAAATATAATAAAAGTGGGTCTTGGCCCATTCTATTCATTACCTGCACTTTGTCTTGGTTTAATTTTATGACTTTGAACCACAGTCAGGAGAGCGCACTGATAAAAATGGAATTATTTGCAAAATGTAAATGGGCCAGAAAGCAATGCAGGTCCAAAACAGAAGTTTATGTATCAAACAAACGTCTGCGGGTGAATTAACACTTTGGTATCCGTTCATATCAACCTTCATTTTTTTAGAGTCTCTGAATTAAAATTTTTTCTTGTTGTTGTTTTTGTTTTGCTTCATAATATGTGAAAAGATTGAATCTGATTTATTTACTCAAAATTTGTACCTGTTCTCTATATTTGAGCATGGCTTAATTCGCACAGTTAGTTCAGAAACTAAAACTCTGCAGAGTTTTAGTCCATTACAGCCAGGATCAGGTAGAGTTCATCAGCAGTCCTTCCATGTCGGATTCTTATCTCCGTTTCTTCGACCTCGCCGTGAGTTGAGTTACGACCCGGGAGAGAAGTTCTGATTTCACACTCTGGACCTGCACAGCTTCAAATCCCAGATATAAAGATGTTTTATTCTTCAGCTTCCTTAGAAGTGTGAATATTTTGGATTTGTGGCTTTATGACCAAGAGAGTCTGCTTGGGAGTTCCATAATTCACTGCCTCTCGGAAGGTCAAAGGTCATTCCATGGTCCATGCTGAAAGAGGGTCTAACTTAGATTTGCTGAAAGAATAAGGTATTCATTTCTTAGGCCTTCTCCTGTAGTGTGCGATATTTAACTAAACTTTAGAGGAAATAAAACATAGACTAACAGGACCAGTGTGTACATGTATGTTTAAATGCAGCCACTTTATAAAAGGGAAAACAGGAAGGCAGGTTGTGACAGTGTGCATATGAGGGTCATGGTGTTCTTCAGAGATTCAGCCTGGGGGCAGAAACTGCCTCAAAAATCTTTATAGGCAGCATTGACCTGAAAGGAAAAGTTTGTATGGTTTGTGCCCAGGATGTGTGGGGTCTGCAGAGATGTTAGCTGACTTAGGTGACTTGCATAGAAACATGAATTTCAGTGTAATCAACTATTTTACAGGCCAGTCATGGCTGTAGGTCTCAGGACAGGCAGCGCTTTGCAGAAGAACCTCAGATTTAGTGCTTGCATTTATCGATTGCATCACTGGTACCGACTGCTGATTCTGGAGATGTCGCTCTGCAGGACAGCTGGGGAAAATGATCACTTGGTGTGCAGATAGAGACAAACCAGGAAATAAAAGAACAGAAATAAAACTATAAAACATAAAACCAAGCAGACTTTAAAATACAACATATGAAAAAAGTTGAAAACCTTCATAGTTTGTAACCCTGTGATCATTTTGTAGTGCAAAATTCAAAAACATTCGACAGACAACATTTGTTATGAAAAACAACAGCAAAACATGTACAAACCAAATGTATGAAGATAGTATCACCACCTCCGTTTGGGACAGAACAGCTTTTGTTAGAGGAAAATATCTATAAATACTCTGAGCACCGATTTGCATTTTGCATGTCAAGATAGAATATTGTCGCTGTGTTCTGACATTTAGCCCATTGTGTGCTATTATCTATAGATTTTAAGGAACATTATTCAGAATTGGTTACATTTGAGCTAATTGCTGAAACCCTTAAGTTTTAGTCCAAACTTTGATCAGACGGCTTCCAGGAAATGCCCCGCTTCCCCTCCTTCAGCCTCAATGAAAAGTTGCAATGAAGTCACATGACTTATAATAAGTTGTGTTTACGCAGAAAGCAATCCAAGAAAACCAGTTTCCTGCTTTTCAGGCATTTAGGGATCAAAACTGAGAGGCTGAGAAGACGAGTATGAAGACTCCATCAAACGCAGCTGGCACTCATCCAGAAACATCCAGACAAACTTGAAATGTTCTTTAGCACGAATGAAAAGAATGTATTCTCTAGATAAGGAAATATATCAGGCCAGGCATAATTTAACTTTTTTTTCTTCAGCTCTCATTCGTTCCCCTTAAATGTTGCATGTTTGTCACCTTATTATGCAACAGCAGTTTTTCTTCAACGGCCCCGGGGTTTACAGGGGAACCCCAGAGGAGGAAGAGAAAATACATGGAGGAACTGTGTTTGTGCTGCATGTTAGCTGATAATGAGTACTTCTATTGTAACAAATAGTAAAGCTGTCATTTTAAATGTGATTGAAGATTCCCTGTTTTAGAATACAGTCAGGCATCTGCATGCTGTGTATTTTTTACTTAAACAAATGCTACTATTATTATTTTGAGTGCTATTCTACATTATGTTCTTCATCAGTAAAACATGCAATATAAACCAAAACACTGTAGATCAGGGAAAATACTGTTAATTTTATGTTATATATAAAAACTTAATAGTCATTCATATTTTAAAACACTTTTTATTTTGTAAAAAAACACACAAACACAAATATATACACTTTGTACAAATGCTTTAAGGAAACATGTAGAAGTGCTTTCACATGAAGTTACTTGTCAAGAGTTGAGATGTTAGAATGCATTTACCCCATTAACAAAATGTCACTTATAAGTCTAACGGAAAAAATATGTATGTGATAAAATAAATGGCACTTCAACCTAAGTTAAATATTTATATCAGTGTGTAGTTTTCTTTTTGGAGGTATCTCCAAATTACTGACTTTTTTGGATCATGATGTAATGCCCGATCTTAAAATCTGTATGGTAAAAAGTAAAAACATAAGTGCTTTGAACCAGCCAAAACCATATGCACACATCTAAGCTTCTGTAACACAGACAAATTCTTCATAACTTCACATCGGCGGATACAAGAGATGAGGACAACTGTCCACACATGACAGAGTGGCTTGCATGGGCTTGCATGATAGCTTAATGTGGCGGGGTTGACTCTGGTGGGGTGGAGCTTGTGAACAGGAAGCGCTTTAAAAACAGTCCAAAATTTTAAAGAGTTCCTCCTGTCCGGTCATGGAGATCTCACATCAAGGAAAAGTTGTTCCAGAATTCGTACGAGTTGCTCTGGAAGTTTGTGTCCAGTGTTGTGTACTGTGGTGGGTCTTCTAACTCTGAAAAACAAACACAACATTCCAGCATAAATTCAGGTGACAATAGGTATGCATTTTCAAAATCAATTTTTAATGATCTCTTGTCTTCTTCCAAGAGTTTGCTACATGCAAAATGTGTTGAATTTAAACTCCCAAATTGCAAATATACAATCTATTTCTACATTTAAAGGTTTAAAACTGCTGCAGAGTAAATTTCCTCTTTGCTTGTCAGTATTTACCTGAGGAAGACTCACTCCAATTACTCCCTGGACTGGTGCGTGCTTCATTGTGAAGGAATCCCCTGCTGTCTGTATTGCTCATCCACTGTGATTCTTTCTCCAGTATCTTGCAAATCTGTAAGAGTAACACCAGACTGAATACAACTGGAGATTTCTCACATAGTTTTTTTAACAATTAGCTTAATTGTATCATTAATGATGCCAAACAGACAGAATAAGACAAGCAGGGGTATTCCTGCCAATGAAAAATGCATGCAGTTAAGAGTGGGAGCTGAAGGTCATGCTTACCTCAATGACGTCTTGTTGATAGTCGTATTCTGGAAGAGCACAGCGAAGAAGCAGGGAGAGAAAAGGAAAATACTATAAGTATACTGATAGGATACATTTCCATCTAATTCTCTTGCAGTTTTTTTCCCAGTTAGTAAAATTTCTCCTGTCTTACCAAGGTTGTGTTCAGGAGAAACCTCAAATCTGTGGGAAAAGTGGTTCTGCAGAGGATCTGTCTCAATCTCCACTAAGAGGGACAACTCAGGAACTTCACCTGTACAGTCGAATCCTGCAACAAGAAACCGCATTTAGAAAAACATCTATCGCTTGCATATTGCACAGTTTGTTTGTTTGTTTGTTTGTTTGTTTGTTTGTTTGTTTTGCAAAGTTTCTCACTCACCTGCATGCTCCATGTTCACTGTGCTGTCTACTGTGTTCTCCTGAGTGGACATGGTTTCCTCGGGCGGACACATGTTTACAGGAGACTGAGTGTCGCTGTAGTCTGACTCCATCTCTTCCTTAACTGCTTGTCTCTGCAGAGATAAAAAAAGTCAAAATCAGTTAATTTCTTTTCCAAAACATAAAGCTTTGTGATTGCATTTACATAGCCTTATCTAAATCTGTGAGAGTCACATGATTTGAATAAATCCCTAACTAGGTGCTGCAGCACATTGACAGTATTTACCTTCTTCCTTGACTTGGTGTCCCTCGATTTGCTCCTTTTGTCTGTGCAAAGAAAAGAAAAAAAATTAATCACTTTACAGCTCAATCTTTTAATATCATGTCAGCAACAAAAAAATCTACTGTGAAAATCTTGAAATATGCCAAGAATTGTTTCTCACCTTTGTTTTTTGAGACAGCAGGCAGCATTCTGAAGACCCGCATGGCTTGGTGGCCTTTGTTGATGCTTTTGTCTTTCACCTCCTCAATGTCAGGCAGGGAGTTCATGGCACATCGGAAGTTGGCTTTCCAAGTTTTGGGATCACAATTCTGTCCCTTCGTGTATTTACCTGTAAAAACCATTTAAACATTTGAGTTTTTTCATAACAAAACTCAAATGTTTTGTTATGTATTTGCATATTCATTACAAATACAGCTGAAGTGCCTGTTCCTGTTTGCTCACCTGTATGGATGGCCCATTCTTTGAACAGACAGGCGTCTTTGTCAAGCTCCCAACCATGTCGAGCAGCGTGCTTCCATGGAATAGAGAACATTGTCTTCTCCTGCAACATGAATACAAAACATGTTTTAGCTAAGCAGACATTTTATAGCATATTTACTTTAATTTCAAGCTCCATCTCAACAACTTACTGACCTTATCCACCCATTGCAGCCCGCTGATGGTGTTTGAATCGATCATCTTCTCCAGCCACGGCCTCATTCTCATTCTAGACACAGGCATGTTTGTGCCTAAAATACGAAGCAACACACAAAAAACAAGATAGTCGTTAGATAAAGGCGGAATCCGATTTGATAGACAGAAGAGAGAGCAACTGAAACCCCCACATCCGCCTCTGCTTAGATTTATAGCTGCGGGTTGGCCGTGCTAAAAGGAGGTGAGGAGAAGTTCATCTGAAGGCTGCAGGGCGCGCAAGGAGGAGAGGTTTGGGGGCGTTTACATGCAGAAGTCAGGCGAATGTGTGATATCCTTAGACCCAAAAAACACACACAGCTCTTCTGAAATTATTGTTTTCCGAATTGATTCGTTTAGTGGCCAAACAAAGTAAAAATAAATAAATAAATGATTTTTTTTTTTTAAAGTAACACAACTCCTTCTGGAGGCGCACGGTGCGCGATATTCCCATCCATAAATTAGAGCCGATTTCAATTCAATGAGTTAAAATGCACAAAACTTGAAAAACACGTTCTAAACTGTATTCACAGAATATTTAAAATGTTGCTACTCAGGCGTAAATCCTTCACATACATTCTTACTAAATATAAACCTCGAAACCACTTACAGTGTTTGCTCCTTTTATAATCCGAGAGGAAAAAAGGGAGATGTGTGAAAATCAGTGATGCGAAAGTTCCGAGTTCGCTGTAGGTTAGTTTCTTCTCGTTCCTTAGTTATCCTGCTGGATAGCTTTCTTGGACTGAGTGAGGTAGCGTGGTAAAGGTTGTCTTATATTGGTGCTGAGTTGGTATTCCCCCATCAGCCCAGAGGGCGGGGCGAACTGTAAAAAATATCCACTATGAAAACACATGCAACTCCGGCTTTGACTCTGATGTCAGTTTTTATCAAATATTTGAAGATGTTGCCGTTTCTTTATGTCGGACTTTTTTTTTTAGCTTTCACACAAAACATTTTTATCCAAGTCTTGTCAATTTTCCCCTAAAATTCTTCATGCATAACTTTGTAATAGAGGAATGAAGGGATGTATAGTTAAATAATTTTAAAATAAATGTTTAATTAGCAGATACGTCTGTTATTAACATTTCATCAATAAGCATGTATTTATGCACATGTTGCAAAAAATGCATTAAGAAGCTGAAAGTAGTACGTTTATTTGATCTATTTGGGGATGTTTTTTTACAGTGGCGCGCATGCGCTTTGTGAGCCTCTCGTTCAGCAGTGGAGCCGTTTCCGAGAAATCACGTTGTTGAGTGCAAGAGGGAAGTTAATAACAACACGGGCTGATTACAGTAGCCCGCCGCACGTAGTCCGCTGCATAAAACTATGACCTGACCTGGATGGAGTTTTGTAATCCAGCATGCAGAACAGTGCAGGGAACTTTGCAGACTTTTCGGACGTTTAGCAACATATGCACATGTATTTAAAACTGCAATATTTTTAAAACAGTTAACAACAACGCCATGTTGTGTTAGTGTTCTTATTGTTAAATAGAGTAAATTAGCTTATGTTGTGCCTTTCTAGTCAGACCGACTCAAACGCATATTATTATTGTCATTATTATCATTATTAAAAAGAGGTTGCATTAAATGAGATCAAACAATTGATTTCTTACTCTGTTTTTCATCAGCAAGCCTGTGAACACCGGCCCACATACTAGCATGACAAACGTGCACATGATACCAGACCAGCCCTTTAGTATAAACAGCGGGGCTATGAGAAGCGACGCATTTACAAGAAATGATGTAGTATTTTTTTTCTACCACTAGAGGCAGACTGGCACAAGCGTTCCTGCTCTGAATCCGCTCAGAGAGGAGACATGAGGAAGCTGCTCTTTCACACACACACGCACCTTATCAGATCTGTGAGAGAACCTTATCAGATCCTCACACTGGGCCAGCGCTCATGAAACTCTTGGGAACAAAGCAAAAAGCGCTAAAAATAATAACAATAATGAATGAATAAAACTCATTTAAAAAAAGGGACGAACTCATAACTCATATTAATAAAAATGTTTTGTTTTTACTATGCTTTGATTATTACCAACGATTAGGTGTGGGTGTGGGTGTGTGTGGGTATGTGTGTGTGTGCGTGGGTGAGTGTGTGTATCAAAGAAAGGCTTGCTATTTAAAACGATGAGCGCACGGTTAAAACGCTTGGGAAGCCCCACAAATGCCTTGTCGCATCTCCCCCTCCTGCTGTCCTCACACTGGGGCTTCCCGTGCGGCGCGGCTCGGGGCCGCGCGCATGCGCCGCGGCTGCGCGTCTACGCTGCACACGCGCCGCCCGCCGCCCGGCAGGGAACGGCAGGGAGTTTTCTTACGGAGTTTTTCACCGGCAATAAATGTGTGGGATTTCCCGATGAAAGCAGAAAAAACAGAAATCCATGCGGGGGGCGGGACGGGGCTGGATCCTCCAGAGTTTCCGCCCTTCTGTTCTGGGAATGCTGTCAGCTGTCAGGCAGCGCGGTGGAGAGAAATAGGTGAATTATAGGAATTCACTCCAGCTGACATTCACTTTTAGTTTTTGTTTATTAGATTCTGTAGCTGTTCCGCGAAAGCTACAGGAGTTTGTTGGAGAACATTAGAAAGCATCAGGAATAATAAAAATTATAAAAATATAATCAATCAATCAACCAATTGATTGATTGAAAAATATTGTCTGGAAAACCCACACATGGACATCCACTTAGAGGGACAGTAATATGCGTTTTCCACGCAAATGGTGACATTTTATAGCACAATCAAGTAACTATGTGACTTTCAAATGCTATATCAAATATAATTTTTTACTTCCTGATTTAATGACTTGAAATTGGGCCTCTGTCCTTTAAAAAAACTCCTGCTTGAGCTAAGTCATCACAACATCGTTCCTCTCTTCACGCTTTAACAATACTTTTACCAGCATTGCACTGAGAAGTAGCTTATAAAATGAGGCCAGCAGATGCAGTTCCACCAGGTGTTTGCTAATTGCTGTTAGCTAGTCTGAAGGAGCTGAATGGGGGACGGATCTGATCCAATTAGATGAAAACTTAACTTTTTGGCCTGCATGCAAAATGCTTTGTTAGCTGGAAAAGTAACACCCTGAGCATCCAATCCCCTAACCACAGAACATGGAGGTGGCAGCATCATGCTGTGTCAGGGAAGATAAACATATTTGTGTTAAAATGGTCTAGTAAAAGTCCAGATCCAAATTTAAATGAGTGTGTAGCAAAGATTAAGCTTAAAGACAATCTCCACTTAGTCTGACTAAACTTGAATAGGCCTCTTATAATAAGTAATAAATCAACAAATCACTTTATAACTGAAAATAAGTCAATCTTTTTTTCTTTCTACCAAAATCTGGATGATAAAAGTCTTCAGTCTGTTGCTTTGGTCTCAAAAGGTCAATTTTGTACACATAGACTTTATAATTAATTGTATGTGTTGTTTCTGTTGTTTTATTTATTTTGGATATTTAAAATGTCTTCCAGTTCCAGTGTTAAATATTCAATAGAATGTAAAGTTTATTGATCTTTGAGAATATGTTTTTGCATTATTATTTTGCTATTACCATTATATTACTGGGAAATGCATCAAAACCGCAGTATTATTGTTTATTGCAATAACTTCGGGGACAATTTATCATGCAGTGAAATTTGTAATCATGACAGGACTATTTTTAATTATTTTGCAAAGTAGAATAAATAAGATTCAGCCGTTTTTCTTTTACATTAACTTCTAATTTGCTCGTAAGTTCTGAGTTTCCAACCATTATTTCTTAGCATGGTTCTGTCATACTGGCAGTTTGCTCTGCATGCGGTGCCACCTGAAGGAATAAAACAGTAATTTGGAGCTTTGGCATGAGCCAAGCTGCTTGAGCATTCGGTCTCTATCCCCACTGGACCATCTGCTTTGACAGCTCAGTGACACTGGATCAGGCCAAAGCCCTCATGCGTCAGCCACACTATTGCAGCACATCGTACAGGTGGGAGACTGCAAGCTGGGATTACAAAAAGAAACACTTGAATTTTAGCATAGCTCTGCGCTGTTTCGTGACAGCGTTTGCTGAAAAGCAATTCAAGTAATTTCGTTTGAAGACGGCACACCAGCCCAAAGGCTGTTTTGCAATCCAACGTGAATGCCATTCCTGAACTGAACTTCCTGATGCCGTCCTGTCAAATTCTGATCTTTTTAATTCACGCTTTTTAATTAACTTCCTCAAAGTGAGCTAGAAATAAATTCCAATCACTTATAAAAGTTCTCATTAAACAACTGCTCAATAATCAGAGTCTTTCCATTTTATTAATGAAATTATGTCCATTATTCACCTTTTAAAGGAAATAGTAGTAGAAGATTTCACTTCCTTTAACATCAGTAACTATTCCCAGGTCTAGAGGTCGCAGCTTTAATGCAGGAAGATCCTTTATTATCTCTGAGATGTCAAACATGTCCAGTCCTGCATCAGGCTGGCTGAAGAGGATTTTTATAGGCTTTGGAGTACCAGTCAAATATTTTACACTAAATGCCCGTTAACTAAGAACAGAAGCAAAAAGTATGAGACAATCTTGATGTTCTGTTACGAGACAGAGGGGCAGATCTCATGCAACCTGACTTTAGAATAATCCAAATAACGAATCATTTAAAATTGCATAAGTTGGTTTCTACTGTTTACTGAACAGACTCAGGCAATTCCACACTTAATCCCTTCATCCAACTGTCTCTAATTCTCACTGTGCTTATTGTTATGCAATCATCAAACAAATGCATTATTTTAGAAATTAGGAGTTTGGAGTAAACACTTCTTCTCCAAGTGCCTGATCTTTTATTTTCTCATGCATTAAGAGTGTTTATTCCATATTTTTGACATCTTAATCAAAACAACATCTACTTTATAACCATAGATAGTAGAGAGGACGAGAGGGAGCATCTGAATTAAAAACAGGGTGAAATGTGTCAGGAAACGAAAAGGGAAACAGAATCAGTTTCCTTGGCTTCTTCCTATGAAAAGTCATGTGATGTTTTAGAAACTTCCTGAAAGTTTAGCACCCCCATCAGGCCACTCACTGTATTGTTTTAGAGAGCTGAAACATTACAAGTCTGACTGTTTTTGCAAGTTTAAACAGAAAAAGTCTGATAACTTTTCTACACTGCAATGTTTTTGCTTCTAAAATTCTAAGATTCTTGTGTTTGTTAGTTTGTTTTTATTTGATTTTGTAATAAGAATTTTGGTTTTTGTGTGACCCGGAAAGGGTTGCTTCTTGGTTGAATTGAAAGAATACAGGATAATGACTAGAAAGTCTGAAAAAAATAAAATAAATTATCCCGACTGCTTCATTTGTCTTCCGTTTGGCTGTTAAATTTTGTACTTTCACCGTTTGGCAGCAACATCTGCAGCTCAGGCTGCGGTTTGCTCTCTGCAAACTTCCTCCTCAGTGTCAGATGTTAATATGATGGACTGTAAATAACTCTGTAAAAATGTCAAACTGAGGTGCACCACTTTGATGTCCTTTAATACGTGTTAAATATAATTTTATTTCATTTGGACTTTAGGACGTCTTTAAGTTGGCAGCTGAAGGAATGTGGTTAATGGTTAAAGAGAAGGTAATGATAGTGGCACATGGAGGTCAAAGTGATTTTCTTTACATGGTGATTTTATCTTCTGTGTTGATAAAACTAACAAGTGACAACAAATTACATAAGCAGAGATACATCTGTCATGCCATTCATTCTGCAAACAAAATGATTTCATATTTTCTTGTATTTAATTGATGATGCTCTCACTCTTC